CTTAAATCCCCGCCGAGGCTGCCCAGAGCAAACACAACCAGCTCCCAGTGGGATCAGGGCTGGTGGCCGGGCTCCTGCTGCTCCTGCCAACAGCAACAGGAGCACCTGGCAGCAGCAGTCCTGACAGGTAGAGAAATGCTGAGCAAGGTGTGCTGGCAGGTGCAGGAGTGAGGAAATTCACAGGCAAGTCACCTCTCCCATGGGATGAACTCACTCACCATTTGCACTGTGACCCGATCAGTAATTCTGGGTGTTCCCCTAAGGCCTCGTGACAAAACCAAATTCCTTCTATACTTCTCACAAACCCTCACGATTTGGGGATATTGTGGTGGTTTGGGCTTGTCCTGTGTGGGGACTGCAGAGCCCAGGGTTGGTGTGGAAGGGACACAACCATGTCCTGGGACCTGCCCTGGGTGCTGTGTCCCACGTTCCAGGGAGCTGCTCAGAACTCTGACACAGCACCAACGTGGTTCTGCTCCTGAACCCTCTGCATAAAAGGAAATGGCAGCTGCTGCAGCATTGCTGCTGTCCTGTCCTTCAAACAGAGGGAGGAAGAGACTTTTAGGGAATACACACTGAGGCGGGAGCAAACCTGACTGGCAGCACAGCTTGGCCTGTGCCCGCTGCAGGAACCGGCTCCTCTGGCCTTGGCAGCACGGACTTGCAGCTTCTGCTTAGAAAAATATTTACATTTCCACCTTTCCAGGGGCCAGAGTGGCTGTTCAGCCACAGCCAAGCAGGAATGGATGCAGAGGCATCATCCTGGGGCTGCAGGCAGCTGGAGAACCACTGCCAGAGAGCAGCTTCTCCTGTGCCAGAGTGGAGATGCAGCCACAGCCACCCGGAGTCCTTACTGCAGCTTCTCTGTGTGCTGCAATCAGCCTCACCCTCCTGCTAAACCTCATCTTTTCACCCAAAACCACCACTAGAGTACCTGCTCACCACCCCAACTCCACATGGAACTGGGAATGCTGCCAGGGAACCGTCTCCCATCAGAGGGTCCCTGAGATCAGCTGTGGAGCACCTGCAGCTCCTCCATGGGGGAGAGACGAGGGGCACAGCTGGACCCTGCACCACCCCAGATCCCAGCCAGGAGGGCACCCAGTGCCAGCTGCCCCTGCCCACGGCAGCTCCAGGCTCAGGCATCTCCTCTGGTCAGCGAGGCTATAAATAAACCCTCCCTGGTCGCCAGAGAGAATTTGTGTTGCTCCAGATGTTGCCTGGTTTTGCCATGGCAACATCACAACAGGATGTAACATTCAGCCGTGAGGAACCGCTCCGAAAAGGACCAATTTCCAATCCTAACAAGAACAAAAAACCAGCCAGGGACTCACCAGCAGCCTGGGCATGCTCCAGCCATTCCACAGTCCCAGCTTGTGGTTCCCCATACCCAACTCACACCCACCTCTGGAGCCAGGAATGGCTCTGTGGGGAGGCTCCATCTTCAGGAAGCTGAGCTGAGCAGGGAGTGATGCCTCTGTCGACCCAGCCAAGGGATGTGTGAGTTTGGGGGCAAACACTGCCCCCAAAACGGTGCTGGCTGAGGGGCAGGCTGTGCTCCAGGATCTCAAACAGCAGCAGGAAGCTGCTCTTCACCTGCCCAGGCCGTGCCAGAGCTGCTCCCACACCTGCAGATCCATCCCTCCCCTGGGGATATCCTCGGGTGAAGGAGGCCCAAATGCTCCAAACCCACCCCTGGTGACCCAGGGCAGTGCCCTGGATCGTTTGCAGGTGATTTCCCCAGCCAGGGAGCTCCTGGGCTTGCACACCTGGCACGAGGCTCTGCTGAAGAGAGCAGCACAGGCCTGTGGAATCCCACAGCCCACCTTGCTGTGGCAGCATCAAGGCCTCTCCCAGGTGGGATTTTCCAGGCTCAGCAAGGTGCAGGTGTCACTTTTCCATGTGCCACTGCTCCACGGCTGGCATCCTTTCCAGAAGGTGAGCAGCTTCTCCTGAAGCCAGGCTGGGATCTCTGAAGAAACCAGGTGAGAATGACTGATTTCCATCCTGCTCCTCTGGATCCAGCCTTCAGGAGCATCAGAAAACAGCCAGGACCCAAAAATGAGGGAAGCAGAGCCAGGATAGATGGGCAATGATAACTCAGGGCAGGCAGTGGCTCGTGGGATAGATTCCATTCCCTTCTTTTCTTTCCACCCCTTCAGCATCTGTTCCTTCCCCACCTCCAAACAAAGCTACAAGACTCATTTGTAAAAGGAAAAAAAAAAAGTTTATTTGTTTTTCCTCACAAGATGAACATAAAATATCCAGGACATTTTTACAAACAAAAGTAAAAAAAAAAAAAAAAAAAAAAAAAAGTGCATGATGCATCCCTCCCGCGGGCATACAGTACAAAAATCCTGCAGATTTCCATATAAAATTGGGATAAGAAATACCATGGAATAAAGGAACGTTGTTATGGAGTACAGCAATGCACAGAACAGCTACACATCACTCACCCCCTCCTCAGGGCCTGACCGGGACTGTCCCCACCGCTCGGTGACACGGCCGGGACCAACCCCGCCGGCACGGGAAGGGCTCCGGAGGTCGGGCACTGCTGCCACACGGAGCGACACCAGCTGGACCGGGAATAAGGTGCCGGCTTGTGCATTTCAGGAATTCTGGCAGGACGGGACAGGGTTTGGGTCTGCCGAGCAAAGCGTGGTCGGTGATGGGATGTGTCCCTGCACACCCCGCCCGCGTTCCGGCAGCGATGCATAGATAAATGGGAAAATGGGATAAATGGGAAAAATGGGATAAATGGGGACACCGGGAGCAGCCGCTGGCACCGCGGCTGTCACGGAGCCCTTCGGTTCTGCCATGCCCAGAGCAGAGGGAAGCGGCAGCAGGTGAGCAGTGCCGAGCTCGGCGGGGACAGGAGGGCAGGACAGGAGGAGGGACGGCCTCACTGCCATCGGAAACACCAAAAGCACCAAAAACTCCCTAGAGAACAGCAAACAGCAGAGTCCAACAGCTCAGCAGATACACAGTGTTTGTAAACTATGAGTAAGGCACTCCATCGTAAGGACACGTACGACACGTGGGGAGGACAAGCACATCAACCTTGTCATGCAACAAACCCGACGGGACGGGGGAGTTTGGCTACAGCCCCCCGGGAATGGCACAGCGGAGCTCCCGGAGCAGCTCCCACCAAGCCGTGTCCGCATCCCGGGCACGCGGGGAGGGAGCCCCGGGCCCGGAGCGAAGCCTGGGGCTGATCCAGCCGGAGCCAGGCGGGAGCAGCAGCGGGGGAAGGCGGCGGGTGCCGAGCTGAGCCCGGAACGCGGCGGGATGGACGCGGCAGAACCCGGCAGGCACTCGAGAAACAGGAAGGAAATCGGATGTTCGCTTGTATCAGTTCACGGAATTTTCCAAATTCATTCAAAACCGTTCCCAGCACCTCCTCCCTCAGGCAGGCAGTGATGGGAAGGGTCGGCAGCACACACAGAACAATAACCCGTGGGCAGCCCTGGCGAGCCGGGGGTGACGGTGGAATTGTCCCGGGGAGGGGACAGGGAGGTTCCCCAGGTGCTGCTCCGACCCTGCGGCACCCAACAGCCCCAGGGTTGCCGTTTGCCCCTTCCCAAATCTGAATCTGGGTGCAAAGGAGGAAGAAGATGATCCAAACACAGGGAATGGATCCGGCCCTGGGCTTGTGGGGTTTCATCCTGCCCTGAGCACGACCCAGCGCTGCCTCAGCCCAAACAAGCGGAGGCTCCTCCAAAACTTCCCTCCCAGAGCAGCTTTTGCTCCACAGCAGCACTCCCGGGTGGAGCAAGTGCAAATCAAATTCAGACTCTTTCAGGAGGGACAATTATTCACTGATTGCCTGTCCCTACAATTCCTCACACAAATGAAACATGCAGGATCTTATGCTTAAGGGGAAAAAGGGAACTCCAGGCATTTAGGGCAGGAAAATGCACAGCTCCCTTCCTCAAGACACTGGATTTTCAATCAGTACAGTTCAGAGCAGCTGCTGCAGCCTTGCTCTGCCCCACCTCAGAGGGGAGTTGCAAGAAAGCCTTTCCATGGAGATTTTAAAATGTGGGAATACTCACACTCGCAGCCAGGGTGAGCAAATCCACCTCTTTGACCCCCCAAATCTACTTCAAAACATCACCCAAAGGCACAAGGCCTCAGATGGGATCAGAGGTTTGGAGCACATCCACTGCTCACTTCCCAAGCTCTTCCCTCTGGACTCAGCGAGGGCTTACATGGAGCAGCTCTCGACCCCGCTGGTTGCCAAAATGATTCAAAGAAAATGTGAATTCCCTATGGAATCCAAGCATCAGCCCTGGCAGGAGGGGGTAACACTGGACTGAGAGCATGGACAGCCCCTGGCTGCCCATCCTTGCTCCAACATTCCTCTCTCAGAGCGTGTCCGTGTTTCCGTCCAACTGCTCCCCCCAGCAGGGTTCATGTGGCTCTCACAGCCCTGTGAGCTCTGGGACAGGCCCAGCCTGGCTGTGGCACCCAAACTCCTGATGCCCACCATAAACAACACCCAGGACTCCTCCAGCAACTCCCTGGGCACAGGGACCATCCTACAAAACCAACAGCACAACCACAAAAGATGCTCTGTCACCTGCCGGGGTCCAGGAGAGCCACCCCTGCTCGGCCACCTCACGTCACCCCCAGCCCAGTGACAGAGGGTCCCCAGAGCACCCACGACACTGACACAGCTTCACATCACGAGGGTCCACAGGCAACCACTGGCCAGGCTCTGTCAGCACTGGGACAACACCAACCACAACGACAGCAAAACACCCCAAGAACACAACACCTGTGACAGCAACAGCCAGGGTGACATCAGGCCACAGTGTCCCCACAGCTCAGCACTCTGTCACCTCCCAGCAAGGCCTGGGGAAGCCTCTGTGTCCACACTGCTCCAGGCCTTTACAGCTAAAGGAATTCCTTCAAACAACAGCAAGAATTCTGGGAAAAGCCTTTTGGATAAAAGCCCCAAACAATAAACCAGGACAAAAAGCCAGCGAGAACAGAGGTAGTGTGCGTGTCACCATTTTAAGGATTTTCCACAAGTGCTCTGTTTAAACAGAGACTTGTGTTTGTTCTGTAAAAAAAAGTCATGAATAATTATTTTGAGTCTTTGAAACAGAGTATTTCAGCATTTTAGATATAGATAGAGATACAAATATCTATCCATAACCACACACAAATCCACATTATTACACTTGGCAAACAGTACTAGGAAGAGTATCCTGCAGGACAACAGGCAAGTCACACACCAAATCCTCCTCTAAGCCATGCAACACATTTTATTTCCCTTGTGCCCTTCATTGTGACCCATCATGGTTCTTTCCTCCTCTCTTGGAGCACAAAGAGGGGACGAGGAGGTGGCACCAGATGAGCTGCTGCAAGTCAGATGATAAAACAGCACTGGTGTAATGAATAAATGCTGCAAACCCCCAAAATCCAGCCCCCTCCTCCCCCTGCAAAGCATCAACTTTTGCCCATCCACAGCGTGTTCTTCAAGTTCCCAGGCAGAGGCTTCACCCCTGGTTTGGAGGTGCCGTCCGCGCTCCTCGGCGGGGGCTCACAGAGCACGGAGCACTCGCTGGACACGGCCTCCTTGGAGTCTGTGATGGTGGCCACGTCCACGTCACTCGACAAATCCTCGGAGGACAGGTTCAGACACCCCAGCTTGGCGAGGGAGTTGGACCTTTTCAGGGGGGAGGACACGGTGAGGCCGGCCAGGCGCAGCCTGGTCTCGATCTCCTGCGTGCGCTGCTTCACCAGGCCGGGCTTGCCCCGCACGCTGTGGATGCTGTCGCTGCTGGAGCTCCGGGTCAGGTTGGAGCTGCGGGAGGAGGAGGGGGTGTAGCAGATGGTCTTCAGGAAGTCCTTGGTGAAGCTGCTCGTGTGCTCCAGGCGGCAGCTGGCTGGTGTGGAGGTTTTCTGGGAGATCCCCTCCAGGACACGCTTCACCCCCAGCTTCTCCACGTCGTTCTCGGCATCTCCGGGCACCAGTGGGGCCGGTGCCAGGAGAGGCACAAGGCCAGGATGGGCCATCAAGTCCTCGCTTTCCTCCACGATACTGGAGTCCACCCTGCCCAGGGGGCTGTCCCTGAGCAGTGCTGAGGGGTCTGAGGGCAGGCTCTTGAGGCGCTCCAGCTCTTTGGTGTGCTTCCTGACCAACCCTGCTTTCTGCAGCTGGAGCAGCGACTCCTGGTGCTGCATCAAGTAACTGTTGGCGCTCGGCTTTTCCAAGTCTTTGCTGAACAACAGGTACTTCAGGTCCTTGGTAGGTCTGGGGTCCTTTCTGGCCAGAGACTCTTCCCTCACCACCTCTGCGTGAAGGAGGCTCCTGTCACAGTGGGAGTTTCTCCTGGGCAGCAGAGTTTTCTCGGGGGTTTTTGGCGCATCTTTCCCTCTCTCCAAAAGGCCACAGTGCTGATCCAGGGACCTGCACGTGCCAACCTCCACGGCCCCGGCTCCTGGTGCCAGAGGGAGCGGAGCCTCGTTATGTTTAGTCCTGCCTGGCTCCTCGGGGGGTGCCCTGCTGGGCAGGTGTTCCATCAGGTGGGAGTGCAGGTGGGACAGCAGGGGGGGCTGGGTGCAGATGGTGCTGCTGCGCCGCGCGGCGCCGAGCCTCTCGCACTGCTCCCCAAAGGGGTCGGGGGCCAACCCCGCTGAGGAGTACATGCAGTCAGTGCAGGACTGGTAGGAAGGCTTCACCTTGCTGAGGATCCCAAACACGGCATCGTGCTGCAGGAGAGAAAACAGGGACAGATCAACGAGCACGGAACAGACACCAGCACAGCCCACAAGGGATGGGACAGCCAAAGAGATCTGGAACAAAGCCCATTTCCACCTCAGGCCCTGCAGCAGGAACTAAAGCCACGTGCTTTCCCAGCAGACAGTGTCTCCAAGGAATACCTACCGTGCCAAGCGAGGGTCATGCAAGCGAGCTGCCCCCAGCACTTTACAGGGCACTCACTGGGCACTCTCTGGCATCTACATCCACAGCTCGGGCAAGCAAAGCCCTGGTGAGAAGCGCCTCGAAAGGGGAGAAGCTCATCATGGAATGAAAGGCTTTATCCAAGTCAAATGAAACTGGGCTATGAGGATGAGAAGAGCAGTTTCACTTGCAGCAGAGTCAGCCATGCCAATCCCCTCCATCTCACCTCCATACGCACCTCAAAATCCTCTGGGCAACTCCTTTTGCTGTTGTTGTTATTCAAGTTCTCCCTATTGAGCCTGCTCTCCTCCTTGTGCATGGACAAACGCCGCTTCCACTTTTCCATGGGATTTTCCTCCCTCACACCGTCCTCCCCTGGCTCCCCAAGGACCATCCTTCCCTTCCTGGGGCTGAAGTCCAGCTTCTTCTTTGCCTCTTTCTCACAGAAGCCGCCCAGCTCTGCCAGTGGCTCCGCTCTCTCTGGGGCCTTTTCCATCTCCAGCAGCCTCCCCTGGGAAGGTGCAGATGGAGGTTGTCCCACCAGGGCATCCCGCTCCAGCTGCTCCATGTGGAAGAAGCCCTCCCTGTCGCCGGGAATTTTGTTCTCCAGCAGCGTGTCCGAGAGGCGGCGGAAGCAGTACCCGAAGCCCTCGGAGCCGGCCCGGTTGTCCAGGTAGGCAGACTGGGAAGGCATGTCCAGGTCAGCCAGGCGGTTTTCCAGGTCAATGTCCAAGCTCTCCAGTAAGAAGTCTCCTGAGCCCGTGGTGCCGTCGGTGTTCTGGGGCAGGTTGCTCTCTGCCTGCTGCTTCCACAGCTTATTGTGGCGCTGCTTGCTGGGGAGAGGACAAGGACACGAGTGACTGCCCTGCAGGATGCCCAGTGCCAGGAGCTTCCTTCTGTCTCCACAGCCCAGAACCCAGGGGCTGGGCCCAGACCTGAGATCCCACTTGCACAAAATATCTTCACCGTTGGGATTTTTGCCCCCACCTGCCCATTCCAGAGCAGTTCCCTGAGTGCAGCCAGGGTGGGATCAGACCTTGGGAGACCCCTCAGGGCACAGAAGCCCCCTCAGAGCACAACAGCCCAAACTGACCCCTCTGCACGTCCCGTGGCACAGTTCCTGCTGAACCAGGGGACAGAATTCTCTCCTTCTATTTAGAAGATAAATACTACGGCCCTTGCAGTGACAGAGCCCTGGGGTTGGCACAGAAGCACGAACACTTTGCCTCCGGAATGGCCTGAGCTCAGTTCTGCCTCATAAAACAAGAACAATGCTGTGCTGAGCAGCCCTGACTGCTGAGAAATCCAACGTGCTTCCCAAGCACGGAGAAACCCTCCCTGAATTACACCAGAGCAGCTCTCCCAGCTAATTTCCACACAGGGAGCCTGGCACAGGGAAGGTTTAAGAAAAGCATGATTGGCCCAGGGTCCCTTCTCAAGGGACCCTTCAGGCTACACCCCTCACACATCTGTGGCCATGACACCAACAGAGCCTTTGTGATGTTATCCACAACCAGCTCCTTTCCTTCCCAGTCATGCCCAGCCTTACCTGGCATCCAAAATGCCCTCGTACTCCAGCAGCTGCCGCATGAAGCCGGCGTTGGGCCGCGTGATGCTGCGCTTCTGCTTCACGTAGTTGTAGGCCTTCTCCAGGGACCAGCCAAACTCCTTCATGGCGTAGGCGATGACCGTGGATGCCGAGCGGCTCACGCCCATCTTGCAGTGCACCAGGCACTTGGAGTGGTTCTTCCTGCAGCAGGACAAACAGGAGAATAAATCCCATGTCACTGGTTATGGATCTGTTATGGATTCACTGAAGGAGGGACAGCGCTCCCTGCTCTGCCCACCCTGCACCACGGCTCTGGAGGGGAGAACACTCGGGATGATGAGGGCCAGGAGAAGAATCCCTGTCCACAAAAGCTGGGAGTTAGAGATGGGCAGCCTCACTCATTTCAGAGACCACCATGCCTCCATCCAAGTCTTTGGATACTGGGATCACTGGGAAAAGACTGAGTGTAGAGGCTCAACAGGGTTTGATAGGCTCTGTCTGCAGAGACAGCTGGGGCAGATCCAACACAGACACAGCTGGAGCAGCTCCAGAACGTCTCCAGAAGAGGAAATATCCTCATTTCCTTTCGGAAGCAAAACAAAGTAGTGACAAAAATGCTGGGCTAGAACAGGTTAATGCCAGTCCAGGAAGGGACAGGGCACGAGGGAGCTCCAGGAACTGGAATGATGATGCCAAGGCCCTGCAGTTCCTGTGGCTTTGTGAGGGCCCAAGATGAGGCACAGAGAGCTGGGATGTGCCCTCCCCCAGGGCCAGGTGTGCCAGCACTCACTTGGCCTTGTTGATGAAGTGATAAGCCTCGTTCCAGTGTGCCAGCAGGTCCGTGGTCTCCTCGTCGTACACGCGGATGTTGTGGTACGCGAACAGGCCCGGGAAGAAGTTGTCGATCTCCCGGGTGACATTCAGGATGTAGTCAATGCTGTGGGACCAGGAGAGACACCCTGAGCTGCCATGGTCACCAAACAGGCCCTGAGGGACACTGTGAATCCATGCTATCCAACCCAACACGAGCTGTAAGGTTTTGCCTAAGCCCTAATCCTAAACTCCTGGTACGCAGGGCACACAGGGGCTGTTCTGCCACCTCTCACTGCCAGCACATCCCAAGTGTCCAAACACCCTGGGCACAGGAGGGAGAAGTTTATTTTATCCCATTTATTGTCTCTGAGTCTGTGTAACCCAACCAGGAACTCCTTGCTGAGTTACACAGCTCTGGGGATGCAGAAAGAAGTGAATCATCTGGGACCACAGCCCAGGAATCACCATCTCCAGCTGCAGGTTTTAGCTGCAATCCCATCCCTTCCCCTTCTTTCTGACCAAAACCATGAGAGCCACATGTTATCTCCTGATTCCTGCCAAATATCACAGCAGGGATAACAAGGTACCCCAGAATGAATGTCCAGATTGATTTATCACCTCCTATCACTGAGAAAAATCAAGGACACAGGATATTTGTCTCAGAATTTGTCCAGCTTTGCCTTTGGACACTGCATATCCCAATGCAAGACATAATCATTAATACCCTGCTTGATTTCCTTGTCCCAAGATGTGCAGACATCTGCTCCCAAGGACTCCAAATGAAACATTTTCAGCTGTGCTGAAATTGTGAAGAATTTCAGTTCCTTACAGCAAGGTTGGTGCAGGCCTTGAGTGACCAGCAAATATTTATGGGCAGAATTCTTCCTGATCCAAAAAGTGTGGCAGGGAATGGAGCCAAGCAGCACCATGGGGATGGGAGGGACACCTGGAGCTGCCTGTGCAGGCAGGTGAGGAGGAGTTTGCTCATCCACAGGCAGCTCTGCTCCATCTGAATGGAGATTTTTTTTCCTTAGTGCTGCAACCTTTGCTCCTCTGCAGCCTGCAGGAATTCACACCTGGCACAGCACTGGGAACACTGGGGGATGGAGATCCTGATGGACCTCAGCAATGACAAGTTTTGTTATTTTCACTCTCTGAGGTTGGAGAGATTTCTCCACACAGCTGCTGGTGGGAAGTTACCATGTGGCTGAGGGGTAAAATCATCCTTAGAGCCTGCAAATGTCCTCTGCAGAGTCCTGGGGGAATTGCAGGCACACAGTGGAGGGTTTGGAGCTGGGAGGAGCAGTACTCACCCCGAGCCCTGCAGCTCCTCCAGGTTGGAAGCGTTCCACTCGGAGCCCTGCAACAGCCACAAAAACACGTTCCCAAGGGACCCCAAAACAGCCCCTTTTCCCTCAGGTTCTGCAATCCCCCAGCCCCAGCCATCCTCCTGAGCCTCTGAGACAGAAATAGGGCATTGATGTCCTGTCCTGAGCAGGCAGGGACCTGCTGAAGGAGGGACCAGGGCACAACTCACCCACAGAGTTAGTTCCAGGCCAGGGTGAGACTGAGCTCATCCCAAATCACTGCCCCTGGCCACTCTGCAGTTTTAAACACGGGGAGAAATAATTCAGGGAAACGAAGTGAATGCACCTGTGATCCCAGACATGCCACACATGAGAAGTGAGGCAAATCCTGAAACTCTGGGGGTAGTTACATCTTGGATTCTCCCCAGACCTTCGCAAGAGAAACCTTTAAACTTTTAAAAAGCAGATTTTGCCCTGAAACACGAGCAGTTCCTCTGACTCTATCCAGAACAACAACAAAAAGACCCAATGGGCACAAAGTGCTCATCTCTGGGAAGTCTTTGTTCCAGAGGCAGAGCCTGGTTTTGCCTGGAGTACCATCTAGTGGCAAAGGATTGGACACAGCACAGCAGAGCTCTCCTGAAGCTCCTGCCACTCACCAGGTACAAATGATCAAAAATCAGGGATGGTTTGTCCATCTGACCCAGGATCAGCAGCATCTCATTGTCTATAAATTCCTTGAATTCCTTCAAGTTGCAGTTCATGTGTTTCTCCAGCTCATTTCGGATCTGCAGAGCAAACGCAAAGGATGGCATTGGAATCTTGGTGTCCAACACAAATATTTGTGGGCACTTCCCTGCAGACCACTTTTCACTTTTTCATTAAAAGCAGCAACAGGGACTCAGCCTTCTGGAGACCAGGAATTTCAGCATGTGGCATCTCTCCAATTATCCCAGAATGGTGTGTGTGGGAAGGAAGCTTAAAGCTCATCTCATTCCACACCTTCCACTATCCCAGGTTGCTCCAAGCCCTGTCCAACCTGGCCTTGGACACTTCCAGGGATTCCAGCTTCTCTGGAAATTCCATCCCAGCCCCTCACCAGGCAGGATTCCTTCCCAATATCCCATCTATCCCTCCCCTCTGCCAGTTTAAAACCACTGTCCTTTGCCCTGGCATCCTGGTATCCTAAATCCCCAAACTATGGAGCTGTAAATAAAGCTTCAGATAACATCTGAGGGGAAAAGAAGTATTTTGGGGTACCTGCTCCTTAAAAATAGTAATTTGAGAGATAAAGAACAAGAGCTTGTCTGCAGGAGGAGTGAACACATCCACAGACAGACACGTTCTCAGCTTCCTCCTACCACTTGCATGTTAATAACCTGCCTTAAAAACCAAAAACCACCCCAAAAAGAACCATTCCCATTCTGATCACGTCTGCACCGTGGGTGGATGGATTACACCAGCCTGGGGGATGGATCCCAACGAGCTCTAGCCTTGATTTGTGATTTTCCATCCATAAACTCACCAGCAAAATGCTGTCTGCAAGGTCCTCTGACATTTGTCCAGGAAAAAAAAAAAAGGAAATAAAACCTTCAAATCTAATTTGAAAGTCACACAGCTGTTACTGAGGTCCTGACAGACAGTTGTGATGCTGGGATTATCCTGATTTCTCAGGAGGGAGCTGCAGCAAAGCCAGAGCAGAGCCTTTACAGAATGGTTGAAATGCACATTCCAAAGCCAGGGACACCCAGGCATCTGGTGCCTGCTCACCACTCTCTAGAGAGGGAGTCTGGCAGGAAGAAGAAGAGTGAGAATTTTTTGTATTTACCTCCTTGGAAGTCACATTTTCCAGGTCCTTGCTGGTCATGATGCTCCGGAGCTTGGCTTTAATGAGCCGCTCCGTTCGTTCCCTTTCTGTCGGCCTGGGGAGGAACAGGAAGAGGAGAGGATGAATCCAGGCTGGCAGCACCTGCACAGCACTGAGGGGAAAGGCTTGGGTTAAAGGGAATCTTTATGGGAATCATAGAAAAAAAAAAGAAAAAAAGCAGTTTGTTGGTGCTTATACATTATATCACAAGCTAAAGTTTCGGGTCTGATTATTTCACACAAATTCTCTTTTGTAGCCCCAGAAAAGAACCAGGCCAGGAAGAACAGGGAGAAGGGAAGATTTCCTTCATGAGCCAAGAAAACTTTCCCAAATAAAATGCTGCACTGACTTGTCAACAAAGAGGGCGGGGGAGTCGGGGCGGGTGGACTCCAGGTCCTGCATGGCGTTCCACTCGTTGATGCAGCTCTGCTCCGAGCTGATGCAGCTCTCGTAGTAGGTGGCCCACACCAAGGCCACCCCCCCTGGGAAGTAGTTGTACCTCCTGGCAACTTCACAGGCTTTGTGGAGGATCTGTAAAGCAGACCTGCACGGTGGGAGAAGAGATTTGGGCAGCTGTGAGCAGACAAAGCAGGAGCTGAGAGAGTTTCATAGGGAAAAGTGATTTTCAGCTTTAGTTGTTGCAGTTTGCTCTTTGAAAGCAGGAAATTTATGGTGCCAGAGCTCAAAGAGGCACAAACTGCACCTTGGGGGCTTCTCACAGCAGGGCTGAGGCAGGGGCTGAAATCTTCTCCTAATTAATAGGGAAGAAGGAGGCACAAGTCGCTCTGGGATGTAATCATGAACCAGCTTGTACAGCCAAAGGAAGATAAAGAACAGGGACAATTTTCCAACCACCTCCAGCAAGGAGCCTGATGCATATTTACCAGCATTCCTGGCCCCTGACAGGCTCCAGGGACAGGGCCCAGATTGGGTCATTTGTTTTTGCAAATCCTAACATTACTTTTTCCTTTCTTCCCTCCTCAATTTTTCCTTTCTTTAAGGCTCTACTCTGAAGTTGTTGCACTGAACACATCAACCACATCCAAGGCTGGCAACAGAAGGGGCCAAATTCAAAACTGACAGGAACAGGAGATTTGTTTGTTTTTGTACCAAACCATCCCCAGCACAACATCCTGCTGCACAGCTGTATCTCCTCCCTAGGAGATGCTGCAGGGACAGGAATCTCTCCAGGCTCCAAGGGGACACAGCATTGCCCAGGCAGAGGGAGATGCAGTTCCATGTGGAGCAGCCTCTTCAGGGAGGAATTTGCTGGCTCAGGGGTTTGGAATCCCTGCACAGGGGAGGGGTGGCAGGAGCTGGAAGGGGAATGGACACCTGGGGCTGCAGGAACCCCAGGAATGGGGCAGGACACTGGGAATGCCACAGGCTGGCAATGGGCCCTGAACCTCCTCTGTCAGCCAGTGAGAGAAACATGCAGAGAGAGGAAATTCTTGGAATTCGAGCTCATCTTTCATATTTATTCATCTCCCTGGTGCCACTTCCCTCATGATGAAGGACACAGAGCTGCTCTGAACTGAAGCAGCAGATCCTGCTTTGGGATCAGGATTCCCACAGCCCCTCTGCTGACACAGGGAAGCAGATCTCTGCTGCAGCTCACTAAATACCCACTGTGGAGAAGGCTAAAATGCAGCTGATTTTTCTAATATTTACTGACAGAAAGGAGAGTGTCTCCCTGAGCCCACCCCTCACGTACCACATGGCTTGCACTGACACAGGTTTGAAGATGTGCATCCTCCCTGCAGTGCTCACGCTGAAGCCACTGATGGAGAGAGGGAAAATTGAGTCAAAAACTGCTTTTCTCTGCACCCCAACCTGCCCTCTACAAACAGCCACTGCACACAAAGGCCAAAAGAATCAGGATGAGAATTTCTCTCACTGATTTTCCAACCTCCCAAGTATGAATGGCAAGAGGCTGCCAGGAAGGGGAGCTCCAGTCCTCAGTGGGGTTTCAGAGCATTCCCTGGAGCCACAGGAGCAGTGTGAGGGCAGCAAGACAAGAACTCACTGTCTGAATAAGAGGACTCTGCAGCCATGAATCCAAAATGGGCACTTCATTTGCAAGGTGATGGAGAATCTCTCCCAGAGCAGCCCCCAGGTAGGGAAGGACATTCACATTTATCCTTTCAATGTGGTTTCTTACCCATCCCCATCCAGATGGATTTTAGTATCACTCCACAGGCGAAGAACCATTCCTATAGTGCAGCTTTTACTGGAAGAGAGATGGTGAGACAGGAAGTTAAATATAGGCCACAATGTGGTCATGCCAATAGCCTAAATTATTAATACTCTTTAAATTTTAAAATCCTCAAGCCTTGCTCTAGTAATCTCTTGTAATATTTCAGGCCATTAAATAAAACTGGAAGCTGGAGTCTGAAGGTCTGACAAGGTGATAACTCGTGGTGATTGCTCCATGGGATCACTCTAACAGGTGGAACAGATGAAAATGGATTTTAGGGGTTTATCTGACCCAAAAGAACACTTTCAGTTCAGACAGGCAATCTGGCAAGAAAACCCTGCTATAATGAAGGCCAGGAACTTCCAGCCATAAATAATTAAGCTACTGAGATATTCAGGTTTTAAAGGAAATTGGGATGCAGACAGCAACAGAAATCCATCCTTCCTCGTGCCTCACATCAATAATCACCAGGAGCCAATTAATGTAAGGCTGTTTCAGAGTGGAGGGTGACATGGCAAACCTCCCCTGCTGTGGCACACCAAGGGAATGCCACATGGGAATTTCAGAGCAGAACAGAGGCAGCATCAAAGCCAATGACAATAATCTGACAAGGCTGGGAGCTTCCCTACAGATCCCTCTGCTGTACAGAGCTTCCCCTTCCTACCTTCCAGGGGAAACCACCACTAAGGTTTTCCAGAATGAAACAAAGCTCACAGAATCTGCACCACAAGGACAGGGCAGCTTGTTAAATCCTGGGAGAACACACACAACAGCCTGGCAGCTCCAGCCTCTGACTCCAGTTCTGCCAAACCAGCCCCTTCTCCCTGAGCCAAGAGCTTTTCTGCCTTGGTTTACTCACCAGAACTGGAATAATCTGAGAGAGGCTGCAATAACAAAATATTTCACTTGCTTTTCCAAATACTGTGTGCTCTTATCAGTCAGACAAAAGGAACAGCTCGTTGCTGACACAGTTGTTTGTTGGTTTTGGAGCCACTTCTGCAGTATTGTTTTTTGACGTTATTTGGCAACAAAGCTACTACAAAAGCAGCTCCATTGCATCATTCCATCAACACACTGGAGTCTGGGGGAGAGAATGAGTTCCAGTTTTGCAAATGTGTCTGCAAGAGCATTTTGTAGGGAACAGGCAGCAAACTCCCACTGGTGAGGTGGATTCCACAGAGGCTGAAAGAGACTCATCCCCTATGATGGTGTTTGCAGAGGTCTTAGGATGGGGGAAGAGATGAGGATCTGACTCCATGTTTCAGAAGGCTTGATTTATTATTTTATGATCTATATTGTATTAAAACTATACTAAAAGAATAGAAGAAAGGATTTCATCAGAAGGCTGGCTAAGAATAGAAAAGGAATTATAACAAAGGCTTGTGACTGACTGAGACAGTCTGGACAGCTGGACTGTGATTGGCCATTAATTAGAAACAACCACATGAGACCAATCCCAGATGCACCTGTTGCATTCCACAGCAGCAGATAACCATTGCTTACATTTTGTTCCTGAGGCCTCTCAGCTTCTCAGGAGAAAAAATCCTAAGGAAAGGATTTTTCATAAAATGTGTCTGTGACAATCTCCGTGTCCTTTCCCTCGCTGCAATCTGCAGATGCAGGTAACCCAACTGCTCAGGGACAGTTTGGTGCTGCCAGAGAGCCCATCCTGCCTGGCTGCCAGCTCAGACCTACCTCTCCTTGCTGGAGAAGTCCACTCCCAGCAGGATGTTCTCCTCGGTGTCCTGCCGCCCGTTGCTGTACACCACCACCATGTAGCGCACGCGGTCGCTCCACACGCTCTCCAAACGCACGGCCTGCAAAGCCCCTCTGCCTCATTAGTGCTGCCACAGGGCTTTGCAAGGTCTGACTACCCCCAAAAGCTTCATTTAGTGCAGTATGGAAGATACAGCAAGGCTTGTTGCTGTTTTGGTGAGGGGAAGATGAGCTGAGATTACAGGTTGGGGAAACGCTACAGAATGTAACCCAAAGGTTTGCTCTGAAGTTTCAAGCAGGAAGTGTTAAAATACTGGTCATGCACTGAACTGAAAACAGGCAGGCTTCTCCCACACCCAAACCTTCACTGAAATAGCTCAGTCCTGCAGGAGGCACAACTGGCATCAACTTCTCTGCAGAGAAGTGACTTTTACAGCAGATTTTTATCTGCAGATTTCTTCAAAAGAAAGCCCAGCCCAGCTGATGCAAGCAATTTCAAGGCTGACTTAAAAGTGTCCAAGAGAATCAGCAAGGTCCTGTCTCTCCTCCTGCATTACTGTTTGTCAGCTGGATGGAAAATGAAATCTAACACAACAACCCATTTCAGGCAGAGCAGTTCCCTGAGCCAACTCACACCTGGACACAAGGACCAGGACAACAGGAGGGGTCAGGAAAAGGGGGTAGGGCTGGAAACCAGCACAGAGTTAAGGCAGCTCTGAAATCCAGGATTTGCCAATGCTTTTCCTGCTCCTCTACAGGTCTGTTGCAAACACTTCCAAGAGAAAAGAGAGCAGGAAAATGCACCTGTCCTTACCAGTTTGATCCTGTCCTCGCAGCGCAGGAGGTTGATCATCACCTGGAGGTGCTGGGGCAAGTCACCTGCACAGAAAGCACAGCAATCATCACAAAGGGGCTCCTGCTGCACTAGGAATCAGCAGTCTTGACCTTTAAAGAAATTAGATGGTTTTGAGTCAAAACAAATACTAATTAAGGAGGTCAATTAGCTTTGCTGTCCCAGAGAGCACTAAGAGCAATGAGATTCTTGGATGGGCATTCCCTGGATGGGTGAGAACCCAACCTTACAGAATTTGGAAGCCACCAAATCAATTGAAACCACCAGTGCCTGGCACAAGGGAGGATTTCTCTTCCTGTCACAGCACCCTAGAGAGGACAGAAAAGTTTGGCCATGAGAACAGGTGAGGAAGAAGAGAAGGAAAAACTCTGATAAAAAAAAACAGGAACAAAGGAGAAAAGAACAACTTTGAGCAGTGAATCACCCCCAGCGTGGTGGGATCAGCCCCACCAGCCCTACAGAGGGTGTGACTGAGCATGAGTGACCTCCAGAGGGAAGGGCTGCAGCAATGGCCTGGCTTGGGTGATGGAGCCCTTCTGTCTCCAAGTTCTGCTCATGCACTGAGTCCCCTCAGCTCCAGTCCTGTGGGTACATTTCTGTTTGGGGAAAGCAGACGAAAGGAACAAGGAATCTACAGGAAAACAAACCAAGTTCCCATCCAATAACTCAGTAATGCACTCATAACTTTCCATGGGAGATAAAATTCCTTCCGTAGGCTGTTTGCTGGGTATGTGGAATTGCTGACAGTTAAAGAAACCCAAAGCCAAGCTTGGCACTCAAACACCCCCTTTGTGCTGGAGTGTTTGCTAAGCAGCACCACACAGTACCACACTGTGCCTTTCCCACAGGCTCCTGCCCTCAAAATGCCCCAAAACCCCAGCTCTTCTTGCCCAGTACCCACCTATTCCCAAAGTGCCAAAGGCAGAGGGTGTAAATCTGGGGAAGCAGAATCAACTTCCCTGGATGCCCTTATCTGCATCCAAATCTCTGTGTACACTCACCACACCACTCCCTGCCATTTCTTCCCACCAGCTGGCAGCTGGAAGGGCCTGGGGGAAGCAGGACAGTCTGTTCTTAAACCATGATAAACTCCAACAGATTGTGGTGAGCTGACAGGAAAGGGGGTTTTCCTGAAACCAGGATATGAGGAGCTATCAAATGTACATCTGTCCAGATACCCAAATCCTGATCAAACATCCCTTAATCTGACCAGCAACATCCAGACAAAACCAGCAACAGGAAGTTCCAAAGCAAAAAGTCCCAAACTTCAGATGACTGGAGGCTGGGAGAGCCCCTGGAGGAACGTCCAGGACATCCCCAAGTGCCCAAGGGGTGCTGAGCTCTGTGACTCAGCCCTGCCACAAGCCAAAGGGGAGGCAGAGATTAACTCACTGAAGCACAAGTGACATTTCCTCCTCTGTGGCTGAGGGAAATGGAGAGATATTCCACACAGCCCTTCTGGCTGCACAGGCTTCCCTGCCTGAAGAAAGCCATGCAAAATGCCATGGTTTTCACAGAGAATAAGTTTCTATTCCAGTCACAGTTTCAAGAGAATGATAAAAGTTTAAACCAAAACTCAATGATCCCAATAAAAAACTCAGGAATTTGAAACCCTGGGTTTGTTCAGCAGGTTGTACAAGGCTCTCCAGGACAAGCTGGGGTGTCACCCACCTGTGCCATCAGCCTGTCCCTTTGGATGGGAGAGAAAAGGATCTCCAGAGGGGATTGAATCATTACCTGCATGCTTGTGGGGATGCTGGAGGCTTCTCTGGCCCTGGGAGCTGTTTCCTTGCTGTAAGAAAAGAGCTGCACCTTTCACCATGAAAAAGCTCTCACTGAGGCTGGAAAATAAAAAACAAAACACACAGGAGTCAGCTGAAAGGAAAGAGCAGCAAAATGTGCACATCTGGGAAAGGAAGTGCTTTCCTCACTAAAATAGTAGGATTTTGCCACAGCCACTTGCACAGCATGACTCTGGGATTATTCATGGATTATTCATCTGTCATTTTCCAGCACTGTTTTATTACTTGGCCCCTGCAGGAGATACTTGCCTGAGCTGTCATGGGCTGGAAATGACTTTATCACTTGATTCTAGAATTCTGCAACTCAAAAGAAGCAAAGGGTTGGACTTTTTACAGGCTGAGACCTGCAATGGACTGGAGAGCAGGTTCTGAGCCCATCACTTCCTGCTGATTGCAGTTCTTGACATTTCTCTGGAATGCAAAAACAAGAACCTGCAACTGTGTAGATTTAAAGGGGAAGGGAGATGGAAGCTGCACATCCCAAGGGAAAGGACACAGCTCTGGACCCTCAGGGAAAAACAACCAGCACAGGAGCAGAGGTTTGGCTGTGCTGTGGCTGGATCAGCATCCTGGGATAGAGTCTGGGCAAACACAGTGGCATTTCCAGAGGGAAATGACACCCAGGAGCATAAAGGAGGAGAAGGTAGAACAGCACTGTCACAGTCAGATTTCACAGGAGAACCTCGGAAGTCCTTCAGAAGCAGCTTTGGCCAGAAGCAGTGAAGCTGCATTTCCCACATAGCTGGAAATCCCTGTCTCCTGAGACACCTTTCAGCTGCACAGGAATTGCCTGGGATGTGTTTGCTCTGCTCCCCAAACAGCACAAGAGCCAGCTGTTGCTCCAAAGCCCAGTTTTCCACCACCCCACGCTTGCAGCCATAGATCACCATCAATTACTGTCTGCATCCACTACACAGAAATGCTCCATTATGAGACTGTGCTACACAGGAGCTCCTCATGCTCCAGCAAATGATCCCACTGGAGTCACTGCTCCCAGCACTCATCTATTCCATATTTTATCCATGGTCTTTGCCTTGGGGGTAGGAGTGAGTGGTAATGCTCCCAATGCTCTGTTCTACCTCAGCATTTTTGTGAGGACAGACATGAAATCCACATAATTTCAGATTTTTTAACTTCTTAAGAACACAGCCCAAGTTCCCAGGAAAAGCTTCCTCCTGTTCCACTGAACTTCAAGAATTCCCCAGAAAAATATGGATCAGGTTTAAATTAGAGATTTCAGTTGCTTTTAAAAAGTGAACTAAAACTTTTGCCTGAACTTCAGGCTCCACAAGATCAGTAAAACACAGCAGGAGAAGAACACTCTAACTCCAACAATTTTCCACCTCGATTTCCACAGGGTTCCAGCACTCCCCCCTCACCTCACTGGCTGGGTGTGAGCAGGATCCGAGCTCAGCCTGGCTCAGGATAACGGCACCCACGGCTGCAAATGGGAACAAATGGGAATGTGGCTCCTTCCAAGAGCCAGCCAGGAAGAGCCTTGTTTCCTTTTCACCCCAGACCTCACAGGAAAGCGTTAAAAAAGGCCAGAAGTGACACAAAGGCAGCGACCCCCACACAATGTATGGGATATTCAGCACTCACAAGAGGCAGGGAATGCTTAGATCATGCACCAGGAGATAATTCACAGCATTCCCACCCTGAGAATCTGGGGGAAAATTTCTTTGGGAAAGCAAAAAAATATCCTGAAATAGGATATTTTACTCCAGTGTTTTACCCCAAAGGATCTTTGATCTCAAAGTACTGCCTAGGATTTCTACAGCAGGAAAAACCTTGGAAAAAGCAGAGCTCCTTCCCAAAGTTATCAGGATCTCCTGCTCTGATGATACATCTTGACAGATGTTCTCCTCTCCTGCAGTCAGGAAATCTGTGACAATAAAGCAGAATATTCCCAGTTGCAGGCAAAAGGGAAAGCTGTGCTGCTGGAGCAGAGTGGTCCAGGAAAAGGACAATTCACAGAGCAAAATATTTGTTCCCGTGTATCCATGTGCGTGGAAATGAACCAGAAAGCAAAGCCAGGAGCCTGCTGAGTGCAAGGTTTCCATTCCCACTGAGATCCCCGTTCCTGCCCTGCACAAACCCTCCCGTCCCCCCAGCGCTGCCCATCTCCACACCAGCTCCGGTTTCCATGTGCCCAGCACGGTGCCAGGCACAGGGAACACACCCAAACGCCTCTTTGCTCACAGTTTACACCACATTGTAACAACAACGTTACCCAAGCCCAGCCCTTATCTCCGCTCCGGGAACTGTCTGCGCTCTGCCACTTCTCACAGCTGCTCTGGGCACAGCTCAGTGAGAAAGGCCAGGCTCAACTCCCTTTTAAATCCTGCAATCCCAGTAAACAACAAACTCGGAGCATTTTTTCTTTTTTAAACTCCTAAAGAGCACCCAAATCCTGGCGTTAAAGAACATCCCCATCCTCTCTGCCCCTCGGCAGGGGTGACAGATGCCCCGAGGCACAACCCATACATACTAATTCGGGCTGGTTTTCTTTGCACGGCGGCAGCATCGTGGTGGCCCCAGCGTCAGACAGAAGTCAGCAAAATCGAAAAGATTCATAACCAGCTGGAAAACTCACATACTTTTGCTTCTAAACCCATAAAAAACCAAACCAGCAGATGGCAAAGAAAAGGTCAAGCGTATTTTCTGTGTGGAGCAGAGGAATCGCGGCTGCCGATGCTCCCCGGGAACTGGATGGCTTTTAGGGAACACTGTGTCTTCCACTGATATCCTGCCTTGAAAAAGCACTTGTCCCAACACATCCTGATGAAAGAGCCATTCAAGAGGGGAAACAAGCAGCTGAGGCTCGGCTAATCGTTTCCCTCCTCCAGACTTGTTTGTTTGTTTGCTTCCCCCCTCGTGCTCCAGAGGCTCCTATCAGCACCCACACAGCCCCTGCCTGCGGGAAGTCCACATTCCCTGGGAGGGACAGACGAGAGGAAAAGCATCCCAGGGACTGGTGCCTGATCGTTCCTTTACAGTTAAAGCAATGCTTCAATACAGATACAGGACATTTAAATGGTCCTTCCCTCAGTGTACAGCTCCCCCGTTGGATTTTCAGAGCCATTCCGGGGCTCCTGCTGGACAAGGAGTCTCTCAGGTGCTCGGTGTTTGTGTGTTAGGGGATGGGGAGCACTGAATTCCCTGAATATTTGTTCCTTACAAACCCCAATTCTTTCTGCAGGCACACACCATAAGGCCCCTCAGGTCCCACCAGCCTGACCAGGGGAATGAGGAGCTCTCTGTGCATTCTCAGCCAGTTTTCACCCAGTTTGACTGGCACACACCACAGAAACCACCCAATCCCTGGATGCCCTTCCAGGAATCCTGACCAGCACAACTTCTTTACAAGGAGTCACTTCAGGCTCTCGAATAAACACAGAGCCCACTCACAGCCCCAGGACCCCGATGCTCCAATACAGCTGCAGGCCAGCTCTCCTCCCACTCCTTGACCTCGGCTTACCAAACACAGGAAATTATTACCCCAAAAGAGGGAAAAACCAACACTTCCAACACCTGGGAAACGCCAGGAGTGTCAGGAGGAGGGTACAGACAGTGACAGTCCCTGCTGCCCCCAGAGGCTGGCAAGGACAGGGTGCTCTTGGCCACAGCCCTGCCTGAGAGGGCACCAGAGGCTGTTGCTCCATCCGTTGGCTCCGTGCTGCTCCACTTGAAAAGGAAATATTTCTTCCCCTTTGGGAAAGCTGCAGAGGAGCGTGGCTACAACACACATCAGCCCCACTTGGAGTGGCTGAGGAACACAATAGGCAGCGCCTTCCCGGCGGTACAAACTGCCACCCCCCGGGGCCAGGAATGCCAGAAAGCAATCCCGTATACAAACACCGCGTTTTGGGAAAAGAGACAGAGCTGCTCATGCTCCTGGGCAGGCAGATGCCAGTCCCACAAGAGCTTTCCCCAGGCAGTTTGCTTTGCCATCGTGGCTCCAGCTGTGGGGTGTCCCAGGAGGAATCCTTGCATGCCTCATGTGCCTGAGTTTCATGTTTTAATGGGGGAATCTCACATAAGCCATAATCATCTTGCAGGACACAAGAAAACACTCAGTTAACACATCTTATAGCTAAAGAACTCATCTCAAAATAAAGATCCACAAACAGTCTGGAGAAAGAAAGCCACTTTTCCTGGGAAGACCCAGGCAAGCCTGAGGTGAGTGAGCAGCCTCCTGAAACCAGGTCTGTGTTTAAGGAAGAAAAGAAACCCCAAGTCCCACAGGAAAAAGAATATTCACTTCTCTCAAAATTGGTCATGATTTTACAAAGGCAAACATGGTAATGCCTCCCAGTTCTTTGGGTTTCATGGCATCTTCGACTCAAAACATTTCCAAACTGATAAGGTGATGGAAAAACAGACCTTGTGAGCACCACAGAATGGAACACACTTCCCTCTTCTATAGCCCTGTTGATAAGGAGGAAGAGAACTGATTTTTTTTTCTCCTTTTTCTTCCCTCCTTTGCTGCTTGGTCTGGAACAAGCTTGGCCACCTCAAGGCAACTGAGAAAGAACAAAAACCAACCCTGGAGAGGGGTGAGCCAGCCCTGCTGGATGCTCCCATAGCCCAGCCAGACCCTCCATATCCCAAGGGTGGATTTTAGGCAGGACACTGCAGCGAGCAGAGGAGACTGGCATCGTCCCACAGCCACACCACAACAGCAGCACAACCCAAGCTGGGCAGGAGCACATCAAAGAGAAAGGAGAGAAACAGGAAGAGTTGAGAGCAGCTGTGTGGCTCCTGCTCCCCAAAAAAGCCAACGGTTAAGGCAGAGGCACTGCTTGCTCTGGGCTGATAGAGGCACATCTGATAACACTTCCTGATCACCAGAGGGGCCTTTGGAAGGGCCCTGAGCAACACAAAACAGCAGAGGGGAAAAAGGGACTTCAAAGCTGCTCCTTCCCATGGCACTGCACAGCCCCAGGGACAGCAGCAGCAGCAAGTCCCTTCTCCTGCTCTTAATGAAGTGTGTCCAAGTGGCCTTTGCTCCGTGTCACACAAGGATTAAAGGGACAAACAGAGGTGGGAATATCAGCACAGCCATCCCAGCTCAGCCCCACGTGGAGCAGGGCTGCCACAGGAGCAGTGTGCTCCCCAGGGAGCAGCACCTGGAAAAGCCCAGTTCCAACACTGCAAAGATGGTTTAGAACAAAGAGCTCTTGCACATATGTAGGATTTGGGATATGCTGACAGACTGACCTGTGGTCAGGACTGCAGAGGCCCAAAACACCTGGCAAGGTCAGAGAGATCTGCTCAGGACCACTTGGATTGAGGTGTTTTTATTACCAGAAATGCAAGGCAGGAAAGCTCTTTCCATACCCATGACTTCCCAAAGTCATCATTCCCACACCTCCTGAGCTGAAGACAAGTCACCCCCAGAAGAAAAGCAAAATGTGGGCTGCAGGTTCACAAGGAGAACATCTCCCCTTCCTCAGACACAGCCAGGGCATCTCTGTGCTGGGAAGGGGTCAGGCAGCAGCTCCAGCTGGGGGGTGTTGGTTGTAAAGCCTCCCTGCAGGAGCAAACATCTCCCCCCTCTATTCTGAAGGAAGTGAGATGTTGGGGAGACCAAAAACCTCAACTTGCTGTTGTCAGCAGAGCAGGGAGCAAGGGGAGTGTGAGTGTGCATTGTTGGGCTCGGAGGCGTGGGGATCGTGGGCCACAGCCCAGCAGGAATGCTGACAGGGCTGCAGACACTGCAGGCCATTCACACACAAACGCTCCTCTGGCACAAAGGGCAAAGAGACAAAAATGAAATCAATCATGAAGCCCACAAAAGCCAATTTCCCAACAGAAATAGACTGGTGATGATGTCCCTCCAGCCACTCCTGGGATGCACTGGGCTGGAGCGGTGATCAGCACAGATCCAGATCTGCACAGAGCAGAACCAGCTCAGCTCTGAGTATCCCACCCTGGGGGCAACCCCAGGATCCAGGCTGTGCCTGCAGACAAGCCTGGAGCAGCTGGGATAAACCCTCCAAGAGAAAGGGCAGGAAGAGGGAAACAAACAAATGAGCAGGATCATGGATCATTCCCCATTCCAGCAGACTTGCACAAAGTAAATTGACAGAACTGCTCCCAAACAGCCAGGAATGAGAAAATTCTAGGAATCCCTAGTACTTGGATGGTGAAAAGCCAAATAAAATAAGAGATTGTTTCACAAGGAAAAAGAAATCCTTTCTGCTCATCCCATTAATTGCAGAGTTCAAAAAGGCACGAGGCTGATCCCAGCATCACCCAGCTACGCCATGGGCTTGGAACTCGCTCTGAATCCCCAGGAGCATTTCTGAGATTCCCACTGGAACATGATGGCATTTTGGTGACAGTCACTGTCTCAGGAGGCCAGGCCAGATCCTCTCTAACCTCAGCCTGCAGGAGATGCTAGGAAGAGGAGTATTAACCCTACGAGTGCCCCAGCACTGGTGTCCCCAGTGCATGCCCTGGACTGTCCCCAGCCTGCTGTGCCAGCCCCAGGGCCACCCACCCTGCCATGGGGGCTGGCCAGAGCTGCTCCACACAGCAGCTCACCCTCACCTGGAGTCATGGACTTGGAGAACAAGGCTTGGGAAAGCAGCAGCTGGCAGAGGGGAACACACAGAGATCCCAGCAACAGCAACAATATGGATTTCCCTGGTGGTCTGACTATTCCCAAAACACTGGCTCCCTGTATTTTCCTACAAGTCACTGTTCTGGGTGTTGCCACGTTCCTGCCATTGCTGTTCCATGACCACAGGTAAGGGGGGAGCCAGGCCACAAGCCCTGGAGCTGTCCCAGAGCAGTGTCTGAGCTGAAGGAGAGGTGGGATGATGCCCACCATGGAGGGCACACCAGAGGCAGAGCTCCACCCACGCTCCTGGCAGGAGCTGATCCTGCTCCTGTCCTCCTCCCTAGCCAAGCTGTCAGCACATGGGCCCATCCTCCTGCATTCCTCCTGTCAGCCCATTGTTTTAATCCTTGAAACTATTTTATTAAGTCACCCCACTTCACCCACTCAGTGTCTCCCAGAGAAACAAGCAGAAACTCTCCAAGGGCGCTGCTGGAAAAGAAAAGGCAGGTGAGGAACAGCTTGAAGGATTAAGGGAGCAGCTCCCGAGCGGTGCGAGCGAAGTTCAGCCAGGACTCAGACAATGGCATTGGAAGCATGGCTGGGAATCTTGGTGGCACAGCAACCCAAAAACCCAGCTGAGCTGCCAGGTTTCAGAACGGCTCCAAAAAAGGCAGCAGAGACCAGGGAGTACTTGACACATTGGTAATGTGGAAAAAACAAAACAAAATAAATCCAGGCGGATCACGCGCGGTGAGAGCAGAGTGAGAAAAGTTCTGGCTCAGCCCTGACACCTCGAGTGTTTGACTGGACTGCACCCCCTGAGGGTACACAGCCAGCATTCCCAAAATCAGGAGAGTGCCAGGCAGGGGCAAAGCTCACTCACAATGGAAAAGTGGTGGTAAAAACCCCAGGATCATCCTTCTTTTCCCCCTCTGCTCCAAAGGCATCTTTTCCAAGCAGGGTGGTGTTGCAGAGGGAAGCTGACAGCTGGAGGTCAGGAGGTTTTGCAGGGCTGGGAGGGAGATGCCAAGCCATGGGCAGCAGTCTCCACTGGGATGCAAGTGTTGGACACGGTTGGATGTGACCATTTGGATGGCAGACAGAACAAACAAGGAACCTGGCAGCTTTTTGGGAAATCTGAACGGGACGTTTTGTCCCATTCTCTGCATTTCTGGCTGACTTGGTCCCTGATATGAAGGTTTCCTTCACCAGCAGTTCTTGCAGCAAGGATTTCTTCAAGAAACTA